AGAAGAGCAGGCTGAGAGGGGATCTCATCACCACCTACAACTCTCTCAAGGGTGGGGGGCACGGGGACGCAGCCAGACTCTTCCCAGTGGTGCCCAGCGCCAGGCCAAGGGGCCATGGGCACAGCCTGAAGCAGAAGAGGTTCCAGGTGAACGGGAGGAAGAACTTCTTGCCTGGGAGGGTGCCCGAGCCCTGGCCCAGGCTGCCCAGGGGGGCTGTGGAGTCTCCTTCTCTGGAGATCTTCACCCCCCGCCTGGACGCTGTCCTGTGCCCCCTGCTCTGGGTGACCCTGCTTGGGTGGGGGGGTTGGGTTGGGTGACCTCCTGAGGTCCCTTCCAACCCCGGCCAGGCTGGGATTTCTGTGAAATCCCCTGCTATTTGGTTAACGGTTTTCCAAAAGCAGCAAAATTTAACAGAGCGGCTTCGGATGGGGGAGAAGGATCGGGTCAATCGTTAACGGGAGCACACACATTTGCTTATTAAGGAGGAAATTTTATAAAGGGGAGGGGAAAGCCTTGATTATATTTAATTCAGCCCCACGCTGCCTGTTGCAGGACAGGGCTTGTCCAGCAGCGCCTTCCCCTCCAGGAGAGCTGTTAATTAATTTTCTATAATTAATATTTCCCCGCTAGACCTTGCAGGCTGATTATCACCCCAAAATATTGTTTGAAACAAACAAACAAAAAAAAACCCCCATAACGAGCGGCAGCGGCTTCGCTGCAAAATTCCAAGTTACGGATCAAAACGGCTGCGGCGTAACCTGCCAGGGTTCAACGGGCTGCGAGAACGCCCTGAAATGGCTTTTTAGGGAAAATATTCGATGCGGGGGGTGGTGGTGGGGGGGATAAAAGCAACAACCACGTGTGGATGAGCACGGGTTGGCCAAAAGGCGTGGTTTTAACCCCAAAATGAGGTAGGGAGGTGGTAATATTGTTGATTAGACTCAGAAAAAAACCCAGGTGGAAATAGGAAAAGAGGAGGAAAGGCAAGGTGAACATTTTTTAGTGGTCTTTTTTTTTTTTTGGGGTGAAATCCCATTGGTTTTCCAATATGGGAGGGGGGTGGAAATGGCGGCCGCCATCCTTCAGGGGTTCCTGTTGGGCTGAGAGCTCGTTCCAGGGTGGTGGGTATCAAAATTTGCTGAAAAAACCTGAATTGGGAGGAAAAAAAAAGACAATCCGGGGAGGGTTTGTTAAAGGCGCGGAGAAAATTGGGGGGAAAAATGGTGGAAACGGTCCCAGAAACGCCACCACGGCACCCAGGCGCTGTTTTTAGGGAACTGGCCCCCAAAAAGGGGCTCGGCCGACACTGATTTCAGTCCGTTTGCGTTGGCGGGTTAATAAAAAAAAATAACTTTCCAGGCACGATGGGGTGCTGCGGAGTCCTCGGGGTCCCCACGCGTCCCCAAATTCCCCACGTGCTGCTGCCGCGTTGGCTCATTTTGCCCCAAACCACCGTCGCCCGCTCAAAATGCTGTTAAAAAAAAAAAAAGCCCAATTTCAGCAGAATGCCAAGACGCCGACCTCGAGCTGGAGCTTTTTGGGGAGGAAAATGTTAAAATTTCCCCTGTTCCGCTTATAATTTATCAATTTGGAGGGGTTTTGCCCCATTTTCGCAGCTTTTTTGTGGAGCTTTCTACCATTTCCGCACCGGTTTGTGCCTTTTGCGTGGCATTTTGTGCCTTTTCTGCACATTTTTATGCCTTTTCCACCATGTTTTGGGCCTTTTCCACCCTGTTTTTTGCCTTTTTCACCCATTTTTATGCCTTTTCGGCGCCATTTTGGGCCTTTTCCATGCCGTTTTGGGCCTTTTCCGCCCCATTTTGTGCCTTTTGCGTGCCGTTTTGGGCCTTTTCCGCACATTTTTATGCCTTTTCCACCACGTTTTGGGCCTTTTCCACCACGTTTTGGGCCTTTTCTGCACATTTTTTTGCTTTTTCCACCACCTTTTGGGCCTTTTCCGCGCCATTTTGGGCCTTTTCCGCGCCATTTTGGGCCTTTTATGCACATTTTTTTGCCTTTTCCACCACGTTTTGGGCCTTTTCCACCACGTTTTGGGCCTTTTCCACCCATTTTCACAGCGTTTCTCAGCGTCGTTTTGCACCTTTCCCAGCCCATCTCCACAATATTTTCTACGCCCATTTCTCGGCGTCTCCCAGTGCTGTTTTGCACCTTTTTTGCACCATTTTTGCCGCGTCTCCAAGCCATTTCCACCTTTTTTTTTTTT